AAGAAACCGCGTAAAAAATTGCTCTCAATTGATGCGTCGAGTCTCGAATTTTTTTTTACGCGAGAGAGATTCTCCGAGTCCTGGAAAATTGGGTTCGAGATGAAAAATCGGGCGCGAGACGATGTCGTAAACAGGACGCGTCGAAACGAAATCCATTTTCCGACGTGAATAAATCATCAGATTATCAATACGAATCCGGTCGTAAGTTACTGCGACGCTTTGGGCCGAGCGACTTTCCTCCTCCTCCAAAGAGGAAAAAAGAAAGGGAAAGAAAAGGGAAGAAAAGAGTGAAAAGGCTCTTTCGCCTAAAAATGGAGATGCCCGTTTCCCAACTCGTAAAAAGGGTTTCCATCGATCGCGTTGCGAACGAAAATACCGAAAATCGAAAAACAGGATTTTTCCTCTGTTTTTCTACGATGTAACAATGTATTTCCGGATATGTTGTGGTCTATGATGACGTAAGTTTGCGGTAACAATTTGCACGCGAGCGCCGTTGTCGCGCAAAAGCCGAAGAACGAAGCCATGCATATCTCCGCCAACGCTTTAAATAGACCCTCGAAAGGGCGGATAATTGCATTGTTACTCGATCTATTCGATCGTGAACACGGTCCACACGTTCAACGATCAAAGCGAAGGAGAAGAAAATGAAAAGGAAAAAAAAAAAAAAAAAGAAAGAAAAGAGAAGAAAAGAAAAGAAAAACTAACGTTCAAAACTTCAACAATAATAAAATTTTCCTTCACCCACGTTTCCTCTTTTCGCAGCTCTCGTGGCGGTTGGCGGGCATGATTCAGACGTCGAGGTATCTGGAAGCGGTGAAAATTCTAAACGGTACCTCGACCACGGCGCAAACGACACCGGAGCTTGAAGAATGCGTGAAGCGGCAATTGGCGACTTCCGGCGCGCGAACCGGTTCCCGAGAGGTCGCGGAACAGGTGGTCACCCAGCTGGAGAGAACGCTCTACGACTTTCCTTGTCTACGAGGTTGCGCCGAGGTGAAGAATTACGCGTGCGCCTGTTCCAGTTTGGCCTGGGCCTGTTTGGCGCGTGTCACGCCTCTGGTACTCGACGTGGCGCAAGCGTTCGAGTTCAGGCGAGACGTTCATCTAAGGCATCACGCGTCCCCAAACCCGAACGGAACGAGAATCAAGACGGTTCTGTGGCCCGGTTTGAGGGAAGGCTGCCAAGGGCCCTGCCTTCGCAAGGCGGTTGTCCTTACGTCGTAAATACGCCTCCCTTTCCCTCTTGAATCGCGCGGCGAACAGAGATGGAAGAGGAAGTGCACGCGCGCGACGCGACTACGCCATTGGCTGCTCCAATTTCCACGCGTGCCTCGTCGCTGTCTTGAATTTCCCAAGGGGAACTGGAATTACATTTGTACGTCTTATGTAACAGAAACGCGTCGCACTCTTTATCCGCGAAATAGGATTTTAGCGTAAGACGACGTGATGAGATTCTTTGATGCGAAGCAACCTCGGTCGCCGAACAACATTTTTCCAAACAACAGTTTCAATTTCGTATACGAAATATCTTAAATTTTTGAAAACGCGTCAACCGACGCTGTAAATTTTACGAGAAAAATATTTATATATTGAAATCTAGCGAAAAAAAGTTAATAATTACGTGTTTAGAAAGATAGAGAGCACGCGAGGAAAGAACTCGTAAGTAAAGTTTGAGAATCGGAACTTTATATCCGAACGAATCATTTCGCGAATTAAAAAGTTTTCACGAAAAAGTTTTCTCGCGGCGGATGCTTTCCGCTTGAAAGAAATCGTGATTGCCTCTCCGAGTCGAGAGATAGTTTACGTTAGACGAGTAGTAGCTACGGATGCTTCAGAAATATCGATGCGTCGAGATGGTTGCGGAGAGACGGCGAAACTCTACAATTCGCCCTCTACAATTTACAATTCTCGATGCGAACCGGACACGATATTATTCCGTTGATCCAATTATTGTCGTTGATCCAATACTGGGGAAAATTGAAGAAAAATTGTCTCTCTTTCGCAACCTTATTCGCGTGGAAGTTGATTCTTTTCAAGTTCAACCGCCTTTAAATTCGACGATAAATCACTCTCGATACCTTAGATTTAACCTTACGGTACGATAATCTAAGATTTGCTTAAATACACTTACGCGAGGCTTGAACGTGTATAATGTTTCCTCGATAACATAGTTAATGGTTTGCTTTCTTAATCACCATATTATCATTGTTTGAACTTAATCCGACTTAATCGCTTGTCCAATTATATATAATTTACATTACCGAAAATGTATTTACTTTCATAATATTTATTCTCAAGAGAGACTCGTTTTCACGTTAAATAGTCGATGATTAATACGATAATATCGAGACGCGATAATTATTCGAAATTATTCCGAGCAAATATTCACGAAGGATATAAACTAAACTGAATTAATTCGCTTAAAGCAGCGTATGTGCTTATCTTTTAATCACTTATTGTATAGATGTTTTATATCAATTTATATATTGTTCATTCAGAGGTATAGCGTGGTCGTAAATTATTGTACGAGTCGGTGATAAGATTAATGTTACGATGAATTTTTTTTTTTTTTTTTTTTTCCTTGATTTTTTTTTTTTTTTTTTTTTCCTTGATTTTTTTTTTTTTTTTTTTTATGTTGTTGGGACATTTTTAGCTTTTTCGCTAGAATAATTTTACGACCTCGCCATTCTGGGTGTACTATTAACTGTCCCGATTGCAGTTGTAAAGGTGGTACACAGAGAGGAAGTTAAAGCACCGTAACGACTAGTCTCTCGGATTTCCAAGGTTTATTATAAATCTCATTTTCTATATACATTATTCATACATTTCAATTTTTTTTTTTTTCCGCTTAATGTAACATAATGTAGAAAAGTGCATAGACCTACTACGTGTTTGGCCCTGATTTAATTTGAACAGATGCGCTTGGAATACGAGTAATCTCTACGTGGAAGATGATTGTTATTCGAAAATATCGTGGAGAATATATAATTTAAAAATACGGATGTGGTGCATGTATGTAATGTATGCCTGTAATGTGTGTGTAATGATAAAAAGTGAATTCTAACTTAAATGATTTTTGTATTGTGTCATGAAAGAACGCCTTTGGTCGAAGCATTCGACAGAAATTCGTACTCTTATAATTGCAACATTGTCGATTATTTACAATCTAATTTAATCGATAAACTTTGATTTCAAACGTGTCCCGCATTGTTTCATCTATGTAACAATTGGAAATCAATTGTCCAAGTATCGAGCAGTCTTGCGACGAGCAACGAGTTTTAGAATCATGCGCCATTTCCCTCGAAATCGATTCAAATCCTTCCAATTTCAAGATATTCCAATTTATTATAAGATTTTACAAAAATTCAATAATCATCTTTTCAAGATAATTTTAATTTTTTCGTCGCTGAACATCGCAAATGTTATAAAATACCAGCCTATTTTTTAACAACAATTTATCTTACAATTTATCTTATCTAAGTATGAAAAAAAAAAATTGGTGAATCTTTCATTAATTGCTTGAAAATCTCGTGATAAAAAAATTAAGATAAAAAGATAAGCTCTAAAATCGCTTCGACAAACGTGTATGGTAAATCAGATTCTTTACAATATCCTCGAATTTCCGGTGTCTCAATCGTCTCGCTTGTCGAAACGTTTAATTATTTTCCATATAGAAAGATAATCTAAGATATTAATTGATTTACGTCTAAACTGTCAGAAAATATACTTTTTATAATGTCAAAAAATAAAATGAATCGTCGCAAAATATTTATTGCAATATTCATTTAACTTAAAGCAAACGAAACAAGTAAAGAAAATATTAATTAATTTTTCTAACGACTCGTAAAATTGAGAATCGATAAAGATATACCAAAAGTAATACACGCAAAAAATATATATTTGAAAAATATTATTTGTCTATCGTATGATCATTCATCTTATTATTTATCTCATCATTTATTTTAATATTATGAATTTCCTATTCGATGAAATAGTCTCCAAATGACGAGAAAAAATTCTATTATCATATATTTCCTATAATTACATTTTGTTGTTGTTTGTATAAAATATACTTGACCGCTAGTGACAAATATAAGACATACTTAATAATATACATATAATATATATGTCAAAGTTTAAAAGATTATTAAGAATATGATGTCTTTTCATGAGCCTCTGTCGTGTAAAATTGCACGATCTATTGTACGTATATTGTACGAAGTATATAGTAATGCTTCGAAAAAAATAATATTATAAATATGAGTATCTTTTCGAAAGATAAACTATGAGCACGTCGTTTAAAATGACAAAGAAGAAAAAAAAGAGAGAAAGTAAGTAAGAAAGAAAAAAAAAAAAAAAGAAAAGAAAATAAACAGAGACAGACAAACGGATACAAGTGAAAAACACATTCACTTTTACGTTATCAAAAAAATATATAATTCAGTAATTTAATTTTGCTTTGTATATAACGAATTTATATACCTAAGTTTGTTTGTTCTCCAGGCGTATAACATGGCACGAATCGCTTTCCTCGTGTGCAAAAATATATAAAACTCTTTTTCATCGATTGAAATGCGATTCGATGGTAATTTACATGATAACACACCATTTTTTGCTACCTTCATTCGCCGATTTACTACTTTCATCCAATTCCAATTTGTCGGTTTGAAACTTCATCTCGGATACTGGAGTAGAAACTTGTATAGGCTTGCGTAACCCTTTCAATAAACCGATCGAACTATTCAATAAACTGTTTTCGGATTCTGTTTTCTGTTTCTTAATGGAACTCCAATTATCGATTTCGTGTTTTCGTTTTCTCTCTGTTGGGCTACCATTTGTGGTAGAAAGCATGTCGGACAAATCGGTACTATAACGAACAATCTTATAATCCGCTATATCATCTGGTGGCAAAGATGCGCTCGATGTATTAACAAATAACGAGTCGTTCGGTGAATACCTTTGCTCGCGTAAAGTAACGTGTCGCATTGCGTTTAGAGAACGTCGACCGGTAATACTTCTTAAAGTTTTCCCAAAGGACATTTCTTTTTGTGGCTGACTCGACGTATTATGACTAGTGTTGCTCGTATCGAATAACTTCGAGTTTTCTTTTAAACAATCGTTCAATTTGATCTGTACATCCTTCAGCATTATTGAAGAATCGTACGAAACGAACGAAACATCTTTGCTAATGCTTTCTTCGCGCTTCTCCTTTTCTTTTTCCTTTTCTTTTTGAATATCATTTTGCGACGCAGTTTCAGACGTTTCAGACATTTCAGACGTTGTGATCTCTAAAATATCTACCGAATTACTTTCCGTGTCAGTTTGAGATTCACTGTGTAAATCTTCTTTTTGTTGTGTGTCACTCTTTGTTGTCCCTGCTTCGGAAGGACATTTTTCACTACTTTCATTTTTTAAATCTATATCATCCGTCTTTTCCTCATATGTCGTATGTACGGGATTATCTTCCGTTTCTAAACGCAAATTTAAATCATTTTCTTCATGCTGTTCTATTTCTTTATCTTTATCGAAATTACTTGCTTTCTCTTGACTCTCTGTTTGTTCTTCCTCGATCACTACTTCTTTATCTATTGAATCTTCTTGCACTTTGGATATTGAAACAGGTTCCGAAGAGGTATAATCAATATGCATTTCATCAGATTCTTGTGTATCTTTAGAAGTATCTTTTTTTACATATTCCATTTGTACAGTTGGATTTATTTTTACATCTGCTTCCTCTGATTCTGGCTGCATATTTGCTAAAATTGATTCTTCACTTTTTTCTGGTATGGTAAATATTTTTTCTTTAGAATTTCCAGATGCTGTATCCTCAAGATCTATTATTTTCTTCGGAGAATAGCTCAACTTTGACTGCATACAAACTTTATTCTATAAAAAATATATTATTTTTTATATCTTATCATATAAGTTATATTTATCTAAAGAACTTTATCAAACTCACTTTAAAATTTTTTCTTGGACTATGTGGTACTCTCTTTTGTAAAGTGCTCAATTTAGATCTGAAATAAAAGTATTGTAATGTTCAAAACCATTAGAAAAAGATTACATAAATATTTATAATCAATTTTTTTACAGAGTAAGAAATTCTGGAGGTGATGAGAGGTATTGACTTAAAAAAAAATTTCACAAAGTAGCTAAACCAAATTTTTTTTTCAATATTTATTCAATAAGCTATAGATTTGATCTTCTCTTATTTATTAATTCATTTAAAATTATTTGTATTTTATAATCATTTAACATACACACATACATACATATATATATATATATATATATATACGTATATATATATATACTCACACACATATACACATACACGTATACATATCTTGACTTTTTCATAAAAAATTTTACTGAAAAGATTAACAACGAGTGTTTGTTTTTTAAATAAATCAATTAAATTAGGACATTTAAAATGTAAATGAAAAAATATGAAAGGCCACGATTTGTATGGTTTGTAAATATCAATGGTTATCTTCTGCCGAAATTGAGTGACATTTGCCCCGCTTATCCGCGGATTTTTAAAAGAAAAAAAAAATAATGAAAAAAAAATATCTAGCAGCAGCGTGTTTGACGATATATGTAAAAAAGACGAGCGAAAGATTTGCTGCATCGTTTACGCAAAATCACGAACGACGGAATGAAAAGGAGAAACTAACAAGCGACAGACTAAACAGAGAAACTGTGCATAAATTTGCTATTCGTTGGACTGATTGGTTTTACAAACCTGTTCGGAATCTTGGATTCGCGCTGTCTCTTGTGCAAGCTAGTTTCAGAAGGATTTGGCGGCGCGGTCGTTGCCTTGAGTCTCCGATTGTACAAATTCCTCTCATCGCCCCCAGGGGTCGCCTTCTTTGGCGTCTTACCCATAACGTTAGCGTACGTTTACGTCCTGCCTATTAACTCGTTTAATCTTTCCACGCCCTTTTTCTTAGCTGTACTCGCCCCCACGTAAATTCAACAAGCCCCCTCTGTTTGGTTGCGGAAGATCAAGTAATCTATTTGTACCTTGCTTTTGCTTTTACCTACAAATATATGCGATTCCTTTCTATCTATTTTGGTCTCTTGGTTTCCTTGGCCACTTATAACATTACATGCCCTATTGTAGAATACTGCTCGAAAATATGTCCAATAATGTGAGTGTAATCGTAACTTAAGATTTAGCGTATATGATATACATAGAATGCCATTAATGCGTCCTTGAATTTTATCGCACGCGGCAAAATCACATCAAAATGAATACTTGGCAATCCATACAAATTTATTATCACTTTAAGAATCACTATTTCTCGAACTTTATAATTGGATGAAGATTTTTACGTAACCGATTCGATGGAGATACACACTCATAGAAAAATGTCAACGCTATGCGCTAGTACGTGCCACTCACAACTCACAACCGGTACTCTATTTCTTTCGTACTAGCGGTAAATTCCGTTGAAAAATAACATGATCGAACACGAATGCAACGAGGCGCTACTATCGCGCCGTGTTGATCATATAAAATATCTATTTCAGAAAAAAATTCATTGATTTTTGATAATCTTTCGTGCATAATAAGTAAACAAATTTCTATCATATAAACATATGTATTTCCATTTATAATTGAAAAATTAACTTTAACGATTTTTTAACAGAATATTTACCAAAATATTTATAAAATATTAAAAAATATATTAAATTAAATAAAATTAAATGATATTATGAATTAAATTTTAATTAAATACATGTTACTATTTTTAGTATATTATAATTTTTATTTGCATTTTTAATTTTTTATTACTATTATTGGATGGCAACAATGATTTTTACCATTATAAATCCCTATATAATTTGAAGAAATATTTCGATTGTTACAGTTAACTAACATGTTTCATTGACTAGTTTCAAGATGTTAAAGACTATGTGATGATGATTCCGGTAGTAGATTTTGAAGATTACGCGTCATAGTGTCAAAGATTACAACCTAAAATTTAATATTGAAAGTATTTTCGTTCTGCTTGTATGAAATATATAAAATGAACATCATATCGTGTTGGATATTAATAATAAGTGTATTGAAATTAGTAACAGCAGAATGGAATACAAAAGATTATATGAAACGAGAACATTCTTTAATCCGACCATATCAAGGTTTGTGAATTTTGAATAATTTTACGGAAATCATGTTCTATCATATGATATATAATATAATATTTTGATGTATATGTATTTGTAATTTTATTCATTATAATACATTATTCAAATATAAATAATAATAAGCTTTAGGTTACGTTACTAAAAGAAAAAATTAATAAAGATATAAAAAATAGAAGATATAAAAAAATAAGGTATAATTTAAATATATTAATACTATAAATATTAAATATTTTATGTAATTAGGATCTGGAATGTCAATACCTTATTGGGATTTTACGGGTAGTACAATAGTAACGAATAACTATGTAAGATTAACACCAGATTTACAAAGTAAACAAGGTGCCATATGGAATGCTGTTGTAAGTTTTAAACATTCTAATTTAAAACAATTATTAATAATTTAATTTAAAATAAAATCATAAGAAATTATATTATATTTTTTTGTATATATTTTTAAATGCATATTAGATTTTATTTGTCTAAAATAATCAAGATAATATTTGTTTATTTAGCCATGTCATGCAAGAAATTGGGAACTTCAAGTTCATTTTAAAGTTCATGGAAAAGGAAAAGATTTATTTGGTGATGGTTTTACAATTTGGTATGCAAGAGAAAGAATGAAATCAGGTCCTGTCTTTGGAAATCAAGATTACTTTCAGGGATTAGCTATAATTTTAGATACATATAGCAATCATAATGGTCCACATAATGTATGTAGATAAAATAACTATAGCTATAATATTATTATAATAGATAATAAAAATATCATAGAAATCACTTTGGACTTTGTAGCATCAACATCCTTATATCTCTGCCATGGTCAATAATGGTTCTTTACATTATGATCATGATCGTGATGGAACACATACACAAATTGCAGGTTGTGAAGCAAACTTTAGAAATCTTGAACATGACACACATATTAGTGTGAGATATGAAAGAGATACATTGACTGGTAAGTATATATAAATATAAAATATTTTTTGGCATGACAAAAATGTTGTCATATAATTGTGTACATTAATCTCATATATCATATACCACATAAAAGTGTATTTTGATTGTATTGTGCCAATAAATAAGCCTTGTAATTCTTCTCTTTTCAATAATAATATTTTTAATGGTAATAATGACTACAATAATCATAACTTCTGTGGCTTAATATTAATCATCTTCAAATAATCATAAACATACTTTTATTATATTCATAGTAGTATTTTTGAAGTAGAAATAGCTGTGCTTCCTATATGTATATTCTATCAGTTTATGTGGTGTTCTACAAATTAACATTACAGTAAGGTCTTACCCCGAAGCCTCCTGGCTTACATCATGGACTGCGTCCACTTCAGCAAGTGATATTTTCTTCATCTTTTCATATATTGTTTATCATCTTTATTTTATTTTTTGTTCACATATCATTAAAAAAGTTATTTTTTAGAATTAAATCGTTAAAATATTTATAATCTATATTTAAAAAATAATAAATTTGCATGAAGTTTTAAAAACTGTGTGTAAAAGTATCTGCTTAATATATATATTATACATATTATATTATACTAAATGCTAAATTTGTATATAATTTTTATTATTTTTATTATTTGCAATAAGCATGAAATAAGTCAACTTATACATAGAATAAATACAAAATATTATATAAATATTTCTGAAAAATAAATTTATTAATATTTTTTTTTACTATAGTTTCTACAGATTTTGCAAATAAAGCTGCATGGAAGGAATGTTTCTCTGTAAAAGATATAAAACTGCCTACAGGATATTATTTTGGAATTTCTGCAACAACAGGAGATTTATCTGATAATCATGATATTCTATCTGTTCGTTTGTTTGAATTAGACCTACCAGATGATGTAAGTAGTATTTTATTTAAAATATATATTATAATTCTTAAAATGTATCATTATTTAATGAGAAAATAAAACATTTCAATTTTAGCCTAAAGATCAAGAAGATAGGTCAAATATTTTACCATCAGCTGCATATTTTGATGCACCTCGAGGTAATAAACAAAATTTGCAAAATGCATTTAATAAAATATTCTTATATTCATTACAAATTTTATTTACAGAACATGTAGATGATCCAAAACAATCTGCATTAAGTAGAATAATGTTTTTCCTTTTAATGCTCGTGGCTGCGCTTGCATTAATTGCCTGTGTGGTAATAGGTATTATGTGGTATCAGAAACATCAAGAAAACAGTAGGAAACGTTTTTATTAAATCAAGGTGCGTTACAAACTATTCTACTTTTAAAATTCTCGTTTTTATCGGTTCTTTCTATAAAAAAAAAATATATATATATATAATCATAACGTGTTCATAAGACTGTTTCAATAGAATAACAAATACAACATCCATTATCTCCAAGAATGTCGTTTTGAGAGATATTTTAATGGAAATATATCAAAAAATAAAATAATCATAATAATGTATAAATTATTGCAGCAATCATAAGACGTGTCGAATTATATCTGCTATTCTAGTTCTAATATTTGCATAAACAGAGTTCCTTTACCAAAGTTTTCACGTTCTTAATTTGCTGCAATTAATCTTATAGAAATAAGTTGATTTATTCGCGTAAGAATTAAACTGATATTATTCTTCAAGTGAACTCTACTTTAAAAATACGTTTGCAATTATAATAAATTTATTCTAAAAAACGAAAGTAGAAGAATAAGTTCTTCAAACAAATTTGCAGTTTATCGTTGCCGCGAAATATTACATAAATGATTACAATATTATCATACAAATAGAGAAACGAACTCTTTACAAATAATCATGAATTATTTTATAAAAGCGTTCTTTCTCGCTTTGACTTATCTTTACCTCTATAGATTTGATATGATTAAAATGACTTTATTAATGTAGATTTTATATTTGTACATAATGAAACTGAATATTATGAATGTAGAATAGTTGTAGAGTGATTTTGTGCTATACAACTCATTTTATACAAAAGATAAAGGGAACCAAACTCTCAAAATAAACAATTGTTAAAAAACGTAATATTATTATTTGTGAAAATAATGTACGTCACTTGTTGCCAAATACAAAATAAATATGTATTAAATCTTGTAAAAATATTTATCTCAAAAAAAAAAAAAAATGACAAAAATGAAAATAAAAATAAATGTTTCTTATCAAAATATACATTCTACAAGTAAATAAAGCTATTCGAGCAAAGTATTTAATATAACAGTATTTTTGCTCTCCTTAAAATATATTTTATTATAAATAATAATTATTTGAACAGAAAACATCAAGGCACATCTATTTGTCTTTTGTTTCTGCTATAATTGTTTACTATTGTCCTGATATGATATATAGAATAACTGTCTTTTTTTTTTTTTTTTTTTTTTTTTTTATAAATTTTTTTTTTTTTTCCTGAATAAAATAAAAAAAAAATGTTTTTTTTTTTTTTTTTTTTTATAAATTTTTTTTTTTTTTCCTGAATAAAATAAAAAAAAAATGTTTTTTTTTTTTTTTTTTTTTTTTTTTTCTCCTTCTTCTTCTAGACAGTTTATCATTATATTTTTAAAGTCTAGATACTTAACATCAATTTTACAACAATCTTTAACTCCTACACATTATATATGTATATCTTTACTACATTTTTAAATACATATAATATTCATATAACATTTACATAGAGTAAAGATATTTTAATAACTAAATTAATTTCAAAGCATCATTAAGTTTCATATGTATATGAAGATATTAATTAAGTTTTAAGAAATTAAATCGTAATAATGAAGGTACATGCATCACAATTGTTGTACGTACATGATTCTTAAATGTTAATAGAATTCGATAGATGCCGATGATGTTTCTCGTTAAAAATTTAGAATTACAAAAAGAGTTATAATATTTTACTATTGATTAAAATAAAATCGAAAAGATTCTCCCTTTTCGATTTTTCGAAAACGGAATAGAAAAATATTAAGCGCATTTATTTCTATTACTGGCAGTAATATTTATGAAAATATATTGATCTTAAAATATATGCGTATAAAATGTTCTCTTTGACATAGATACTTGATGAGTTTTTAATAAAATTCTAATGCCTGAGATGTTGGTAACATCAAAATATATATGTTTTTCTTTCATAGATAATAAATAAATATATATAATTAAAAAATATACTCTTAAAATTTTAATAACATTTAAACAATAATTTCAAATTTAATCATAAAAGATAACCAAAATATTCTTTTATATTATGAACTAAACTTATATTCATTTGAAGAAAAATACTGAGGTTTAATATACAATATATTCTACAACACTATAACTCTTTCTTTTTGTATTTTTAGTTTTGTCTTTTTTACTGTTTCTTTTTATATATATATATATATATATATATATATATATAA